TGCAAGGTCGCAGCTCGGTTAATGGAGGGACCAAAAAAGTATGAATTAAATAGCAGGTGTAACCAATTTCCACGGGATGTAATATGGGTATAAGACACTATAAGAAGCTAGCATATAAGTTCGGACTAATGTGCATGAATCTTATGTAAACAATTTGTGCCTTACATCTAAGATGTACTTCGTTTCAGTTACTTAGTAGGCAAAATACATACCTGGTACATAACCACACTCCTTAACCATTAAACGTAGTGTCAATGCGCTATAAAACCCAAAGGATCATGTTATATTTTATTTGCAGTCTAAAATCTTATTTCCATTATCTATATTCAAGAAAATTTGCACAGGAAAGATCATCAAAATACGTAGACATCATACTTTCAACCCGAGTAGGGGGTTTAAAGTRATAAAGAAAAAAAACATAAACATCATACTTGCAAATATCACCCAAAAATTTCATATCCACAAAAAAAAGGAAGGAAAACGTATGATTCTCTCTCCATCCTCTCTTGTACTTTCTCCCAGTCATCAATTTCCTATTAAGTCGCAAAATTTTTGGAGGAAAAACCACAAATTTTTTTGAGAAGGATTTATATGACTAAAGAGTCATCTTGTTAGATGGAATGTGGTCCCTCTCCCTCATATGAATGTACGATTAAACATTGGGAATATCAAAAAGAAAAATATTGTTCTTCATTGCAAATGGTTAAGGACAGTTCCCAGGGAACCTAATTCTCTTTGGTATAAAGTGATGCTAGCAAAAATGGGAAGGACTTCATAGGGAATTAAGGACTTTCCTATTCTTCCAATAAAAGCCCATGGTCTCACATTGTTAAGCTTGCTCCAGTGTTTGATCCATTCTCTAAGTTCCTGTGGGTAGTGATAGTAGTGCTTCAATCAAATTTTGGAGTAAGGGACTGACTTGAGAGGAGCTTCTGTTCAAGACTTATGGCCTGCGTGATGCAGGTGATCCTTGATGGAAGCCACAATTGAGGGGAAGATTGAAAATTAGAGATTTTGTTTCTATATAACAAGAAACACTTTTCATTCATGTAGTTAGAAGTACATCACAATCGGAACCAAATGACATTGGTCATCCAATGGCTCAATACAAATGGCATTGTTTAAAGAAGTAACCGTTTCCTCTATATTTTGCCCAAATGGTGTGCCTTACATAGAAAGAATGAAGAACCTGTAAATAACAATTAGTATCGTTCTCATAACAATCATCAGAGTAGAGAAACACATTCATCGCCAAGACAAAAGTTTGGGGGGAAGGAAAGAACGCTCCCTGATGTTTCTTCATATGTACAAGACTTCTTTTAGAGAAGTCAGGAACTGAATGCAGAATTCCGAAAACAACCAAGGCTATGTCATGCTATTAGTAGTAAAAAAGCATAATGGGAGTAGGAGTACCTCACAAGATAAAAGATGGTCCATGATATCRATGGTGCACTGAACATCAACTGTACTATCAAAGCTCAGAGGAATTGGAGCAGCACCGTTCTCAATAGCTTCATCAACTGAGTAGTACTTACATACCATACCCGAATCCATTTTTGGATCCATTATCTACTAAAAACAAAGATTCAAAATAATTAGCAATACATGGGTAACATGGGAGAAAAAGGAAAAGGAAACATAGTAAACAAAAATAGCTCCACAATCCCGACCAGCAACTTGATAGAAGTAGGGGCGTCCAAGCTTGCACAACCTATACAAGGGGCTTTGAAATTGAGGGTTTTCTAATTTCTAGGAAAGGTACATTTATGAAAATTCAAATATGACTAGTTGAAAATTCATGCCACCTGCTGTATAACAGTCCGGTAGGTCGTAACCAGACAAGATCCCCCCATAATTTGTAGGATCTCAGACAAAACATCAAAAAGTGAAGAAACCCTCCAACCAATACAGTGCAAGTTCACCTCCACTAAGCACATTAACAAACAACATCTTGAATAGTACTATAAAAAATAAATATAAAAAACAATGGGAAAAATCTCAAATTTCATTTTGAAGAAAGAGGAAGGTTTCGCCATCAACCATTACGAATAGACAATGAATGTAACGAAAACATCAAGTATTCATTCTTCGCTATTGCATGTGATGAAAGTTTTAGTATAAACTAAACTATGAAGCAGTACCTCTAAAGCAGACATGGCAGAAAAAAGATTGAAATTATCCCCATGAATAAGTTCCCCATCTTGAAGATCTGAAACAAGACATGTTTTATATAGATGGTTATAAGAAAAAATTGGAATCCAAAAATGACTAACGGTATGGACTTATTCACATTGATCAAGACAATAACAAAAATTGAGTATTAATGGGTAGCTATTGATCAAAGTAGTATTAGTAAAAAACTAATAGAATGAACTAAAAGATTAATAAATTTGATGGTAAACTTTATACTCTTATAAGCTATGAATTACAAAAGAAAAATAATAATAATAATACATTAATTGATTCCACGCATATAACTAGATCAACAAGCCATTCTTTTAAACGAATCTACTTAAAGTGTTCCAACTCAATTCTTTTATGATTAGATGTCTCTCCAAGACTGCGAGGGTGAAAGAAGTTATGAGATGAAATCGGTGCAGTAACTAGAGAGAGCAAACTTTTCCACATTGCTGAATGCAATATTGTTTATAAGGAAGGTAAACACACAAAAAATCCTAATTCGTTACTGCTTTCTGAAAGCATGAGCTATAAAAATAAATAAACTAACTCCTAGATCTATTGCTCAACAAACAAAATCATTGTCGAACTTACAGCCTTACCAATCATTAACCTCCTCAGCGATAATGTCAAAACCCATCAATTAAAAGCCTCCATCTAAGTTAAAACTATCGGACGGCTGAACTGAATATAAATAATTCCCCTTTCCCGCGTAACAAACAAAACAATGTTTCTAGTCTCAAAACCAACAACCGATCAGAAACAGCCATGCGTCAAGTAGTGTCCACCATAAAGATTCGGATTAAGATAGTTTCACCATACCGTAAGTTGATCAAATCACTTAATCCAAGCAAACTAATTAATGACATTTGGTACCACAAAAATCCAATCAAACAAAACAGAGTAACACAGCAATCAACACCTCATTGCCCTTTTGAGCGCTGAGATAAGAACAGGCAAATAGAGAACAACCTCCGCAGGCAGCTTGGAGAAGGGGCGACACGTCGGCCCAGACAGTGTGGTCGCCGGAAGGAATGGGAGAGGCAATTTGAGGTGCATGAGGGGCCAGAGTTAGTTCTTCTGCTTCTTTATCGGCCATCGACGGAAGGTGGAGTTGGGAAGCTTTGATGTATCGGTCTTCGAGAAGTCGTCGTTGTGGAGAAGAGGGAGAGAAAGTGCAGACGACGGTGTCGGTCTCCTCAGACGAAGGCTTCGCTTAATTTTGGTTGTAATGAGTATATGACCACTTGGTTTCTTCGTTTCGCAGTAGTTAAAACAGCTTATGTCCAGGGAGTAAGCTGAATTAGGCTTAGGGCTTCACTTTATGGCTTTGCCTGCAAACGGATCACTAGTGAACACGCAAAATTACATTCTGCCTTATTATTATTATTATTATTTTAGTACATATCTTGATTAGTATTAGTATTTTCAACATAAACAAAATATATATACATATATCTTATAAAATAAAATTATTGAGTAAATTGAGGCACCACAAGCGCACGAACAGAAGAATACAATATTGGACAAAATACGAAAACAAAAATATACAACTAGAAGGTAAATTTGGAAATACAATTTTTACTTATAATTTCAACGTACATCTTTTCACCAATTTTTCCATCTTAAAGGAACCATGAATTGTTGCTATTTAAGAGACAATACGTTTTATGAATTAAGCATTTAGACATGGGTCAATTTGACACTTGGAGACATTAAGAAAATGGAAAATTTTGACACGCGAGATTATAGCTATTTGATCATGTTTACAATAATATCATCTTAATAGTATTGTTGTTTTTTTTTTCTTTAATTGTAAATCATGGGGTGAGTTTCAATTCTTCTTAATATTTCTATCCATTGAACTATCATCATAATCTATATCACATGTGTATATATATTTTTTTTATACAATCATGTGGGGTGACGGATTGAACTCACAGCTTTGTGGTTGGAGATACATGTCAATTACCGCTAAGGTATGCTCGCTTTGACATATCACATGTATCATTTGGTGATGATTTGATAAAATATTTTATTTGTTACAAGTGTAATGTAGGATCAATTGAAACTTATTATAAGAACGTTCCATGCAAATACAATCCTAAGAAATTTAAATCCAAAGTAATACTATAAAAGCAGGGAAACGAGATTGAAGATCTGTGAGGTTTAATTTGATAAGAGTGTCAATTAAAAAAGAAAAAAACCTTATTGATTTTACTTTTTTTTTACATTGATTTTAAACTTGTTTTATTTTTTTAATAATCAATTTAGTAAACAACTTCGATCATTTTGGCAACATTTGATTTTTCATCTCCCTCAAATAATTAGTTCTCTCGCTCTTAAAACCATATGATTCAAATTCAAATTTAAACTCAAATTATAAGAATTAAATTAAAACTTTTAAAATCATAGAGATTCAACATGCTCAAATTATATGGACCATTTCTAATAATGTTTATAATATACCATGCCTAATAATTAACTAATTTTATTAGTTTCAGAATCTGCCAAAATAGCTTTTAAAAACTCTAGCCAATTGTAAAAACTAAAAAGTTAGTTTTTTTTTTTTTTTACTTTTAAATTTTGGATAAGATTTTAAAAGTATCACACACCCTGCACAGATAGCCTTTACCAGCTAAATTTTGGAAAACGTAAAATAAAAAAAATAATAAAAAAACCGTCAAGCCTTTAATTTTAAAGAATTAAAACTATAATAACAAAAAGCATTTGAAGGAGCAAAATATATCTTAACCAAAAAAAAAAAAAAAAACAAGCGTTGAAGAGAGCGAGAGGCTGATTATCACTTGGTGTATGTAATATAAATGAAGGGGAGAGGACCTACTAAAATTTGACTCAAAATATTCTTAAAGCTATTACATGTCATGTTGCGTTGGCAGTTTGGCATTATGGTAATTTCCCCTATTCCTTTTCTGAAAATATTACGGTAATTTTTCTCATGCCTAATGTGAAAGCTTAATATTGAGCCGTCTAAGCCAAACCGAGTGAAGCACCATATGGAACACATCAAACGGCTTCGCTGGCCGATGAACCTCGAAATGTCTCTGAACTTTCATCACTCCCCGCTGCAATTTCGAGTACTTCACCGGCGAAACGCCTTTCAGGATCGTCTTGATCTCCGGTATTCTCCCGGACGGAATCCGCAGAGAGAATTTGCTCCAATCCAGCACATCATCGAACGGCAGCGAGTAATAGTCGGAAATTATCACCGGCACGCAACCGCCGTGGATCGCCTCCACCAACCTAGGGCTCGCGACTTCGTATCCGCTAGGGCACAGGCAGAATCTGCTCCGTCCGATTAACTCGTCGTAGTTCTGGCCCCGAGGAAGGTACTCGTGGACCTGAATCTCGTCGTCTTTATCCTTCCAATGCTCAATCAGAATCTGCCGGATGAATCCATGCGCTCCGCCGGCGAAGAACGCCAGAATCGAGCGTTTCTCAATCGGTTGGCCTAATCGAGGAAGATTGAGCTGGAAACTTGGAGGCAAGTTTATCTCCGGCAACGACGCATCTCGCATCGGATTGAAGCCTTCGGATGTGTTCGCATTACAGAGAACTCTGATGAAATACTTGAAGAGATTAGGATCCTCTTTGGTGGTTTCCGGCGCCTGAAAGCTTTCGAGAATCATGTTAATTCGTCGACAACCTCCATTCTTCATTTACAAATTAAAAGTTAGAAGAAAAAAAGCGAGAGAGAATCAGAAGCAGTTACCCAATCATGGCAGGAGGCCATGAAATGATCGGCGCCTCGGCTCCGGTTCCAGTAAGGGTATTTATCAGCTACGACGTTCACATAATCGGTGAAAATGCGAACGAGACGATCGCGAGCGTACGTGGTGATGGGCTTATAGATGTAATCGACGATGAAGACGATGCTTATGGGTAAGAAGAAGACGTGGGCCTCATCGGGATGGCGGGCCGAGAATGGGCTTTTTCCACCGTCCATCTCGTCTATGAAATGGCCCTCGATTGAGTAGATGTGCTTCATGGGCCCATCGTGGACCAATGGCTGCTCTCCTTCTTTGTAAGCCCATACCTTGAACCTCTTCACCATTTCAATATGACTCCTGAATATTTCAAAACTTCACATTATGAACTAACGTTTTGCTCAATTTGTTTTCACAATTTGACTAATCAGTAAAATTTTATTTGATATAACTATACATTAATATATATTTTTTTTGTTTACATTACACGTTTTCTTGGGATATAGGTACAGAGCTGACGAATTAGTGTTAAAAGGGAAGATGTATCATGGGAAAATTTTGTTAATATATGATTACAACATGGAGACTTCTAGGAGATTTAACCAAACTATGGAGACCAATTTGATACTTTTAAAATCAAATCACATTGAAATCAAACATAAATCACAATAACTAAAATAATAATTAACGTAAAACTAAGATTTAAATCTCATTCCAGTAAACAACACTTCACATTAATTCTATTTTGATTTCTATAATTTTAAACATTATATGTTCATTCATACAATTCTTACGTTGCTTTTATCATTATTGGATGTATCAAATTAAAAATTTAATTTAACTTTCTAACAAAGTAAGTCAAGATCACATTATAGAAATACAAGAATGAAAATAAAATAATTATGATAAAAGTTAAGATCAGGTTAAGAGACTGATATGGAATTAACAAAAAAACAACCAAAATAGATTGTTATAATTAAAATGTAGAGACTGAAAAAATCTTTTCTAAAAGCACACAAAATAAATATGTAAAATTAGGGACAAATATAGGAGTTTAAGCCAAATGAGTATTTAAAATCAGTTCAATCATGACAGAATGGGCAGCTGGTTTGGCCAAAAAACAACACAAATAACAGTGTCAATAGCGACAATGTTTGACTATTTAGGGAAGCCTAGATTTTGTACGATGCAAGAAGAAAACGGTGGCTGCCCGTCCTGCCCGTTTTGCTTATTAATAATTATTATACTCCTAAAAATAGCTTACGCATGCAACATATTCACCCGCCCCTACTACACGCAAATGCATGCCGCTACCACTAACTGAATTTTTACACTGTTACAAAATACCCATCTTCTCCAGTAAAATACTTGACTCCTCCTATTGAGTCTTATAGTAACTATTATACTAAATATCATTAAATATATGATAATTATTCGAAAAAATAAATTTAAAAAAATAATGATTTGTCAAATTTTCAACAATGATGAAAAAAAATTTGGTGGTAAGAAGTCAGGAAATAAATATTAATAAATATATAATTATTACAGAGAACGCGTGTGGGGGTTTGTTTTAAGGCAAGCTTAAGAATGTGATCTTTTTTTTTTTTTCCATATCACCATAATTTATTACCTTATAAGTTAGGAATTCGAATTTTCTCAGAGAAACAAACAAGACATTGAAAATTTGTGTATAAAACCAAAAGATTGAAATGGAAGGGAATTAAATACGACAGCAAAGAAGAATCTTAACTGATGAAAAGCGTAAGCGTTTCTGTAAACTCGTCCTCTGGGTATGAAACTCTCAGCCCTTTCCGACGTGTAGTTTCGCTTTACAATGGCTTCTCGAATCGCCGCTCGGGCTCGAGCCAAATCTTCCTCTATCTTCTCCACCCGGCCACTCCACTTCTACACCAAAACCAAACACAAACCATGTTCGATAAATATTTTATCTTATAAACATACTTTCACCTATTACAATTTAAAAATAATAATTTTAATCAAAAAGCGTACAAATATATGAGAAATAGGCAGAATAGGAAATGGAAAACCTAATCGTTATCTCAAATAATACATAAATATATCCTAACTCATTAATTTAAACTTTTGAATTTAAGATTTTACGATGATACAAGTAGCAAAAAAGGAAGGAATAATTAAATGAAAACCTTGTGGCCGGAGGACTGACGCGGCGGCGGCTCCACAGAGGAGGGGGCGGCGGCAGGAGCGAGTTGCGGCGGCGGGTGTTTGGGGAGGTGAAAAAAGGGGATATTTTGGGAAATGAAGAAAGGGAAATGGTTTTGATTTGGTGGGAAGAAGCAAAGGAGAAGGAGGAGGAGAAAGAAAAGTGGGAGAAGAAATAATGGGAATGGTCTGTGGGAGAATAATTGTGATGAGGCCATGAAAAATGGTATTGAAGAATGTTTCTTTGTTTCAGGGTTTTAGAAAATGGAAGAAGAAGAAGGAATTAGGGGAAAATAATGTTATATGGTGTGTGTAAACTAAGTTCTGCCAACTTTGGCTCTAACTGTGATCAGATTTTGGGGAAGATGAAGAATCAGATTGCTAATGCTAATGGAAGAAAAGTGTGGGGATATATATTTGACCCATAATATGTACTACAGAAGAAATGAGGATTTTTTAGCCAATGGAAGTTTAAGAATTTTGATAATAAATGTTATTAGGTTTAGGAAAGTTCTTATAGAGAGACGATGGCGGTGAAATGGTGAGGATTTTTTTGGCTTTTTCAATGGAAAATAAATGCATGCGTTACCATAAATAGCTAATTATTAGGCATTATAGCTAGGAAGAATAATGCTTAGGTCACTCAATGATTAACCATTTTTTTACCGGGGTGGAGAATACAAACTGATGATATCGTTCTGGTTAGAGATATACGTCAATTATCACTAAAATAAATCATGTTTGGCTAACCATGRTTAAAATATTTTACAAATAGAAGAGAGAAATACATAAAATTGAGATTAAGATGTTGATTTTTTTTTAGGAAAATTGTAGTGGATAGCAACAATCTTGTATATATTTTAAAATATGTCACCTATTTTTTAAATTTTCAAATATAGCACAAATTTTCATTGATATCAATAGATACTTATATAAATATCAGACATTCATATCAGTAGTATATCAATGTATATCACATACATATTGCAGAGATACTCATATCAGTAGTATATCAGATATATATATCACATACATATTGCAAGTATATTATCAGACACTTCATATTAGTAGTATATCATATGTCTATGTGTATATATATATCTATCAGTAGTTAGATATATTACATATATATATTATTTAGGTAAAGTTGTCATTTTAAAATTGGACCTCCATTTTTTTAAGTGCTATATTTGAAAAAACTAAATGTGATTGCTATTTTACTAAATATTTTTATCATATTTGTAACTTACTCATTTTTTTTTACTAGTGATCAAACATATCTAACTAATCAATACTAAGTATTATTCTTCTACAAATTAAAAAGACCTTTCCATATGAAAATAAAATTTATTTCATTATATACATGTGTGTATGGCCAGGCTTTTATTTTATTTTTAAATAGTATTAGTCCCAGTTTAGTTATCCTTAATTAACAAGCAAAATATAAATTTCTTTTTATCCTTTCTTATATAGTTGTATTTAACCGTCATCACTTACTATTAACTTTCATTTGGTTGGGACGTTACTTATCTCCTAAACTGTTTTAAAACAAAAATCAACGACTACTTATGTTGATACGTATAAATTAAAAATTTACATTCGATAACTGTTTTTAATTAAATATTGTGTTTATAAGTCATCGTAAGCTTAGTTYAGCAACAATTATCCCACGCCACTAGCTGTAAACAAAAAAAACATCCGTGTTTATGATATTAAAATATTGATTACTAATAGCAACCATTCATAAAATATTTTATATTAATTTAAATAAAATATCTGAAATCTCTATATTTTGTTCCGACAATGATATTTAACTTGATGGCCAAATTTATAATTTTTTTTTTTTAAGATTTTAGTTGGTTGCGGAGGTAACGAGGTATCATGTGAATTGATATATTGTTTTTGGTATTTCCAAAATAAATTGGAATGAATCTCACATGCGATGCTAACAAAGGGGAAATATGTGATGGTGAAGAGAGAAATCAGTAAGAAAGATGGAGTGTACGAAAGAAAAACAGAGAAAACGAAGCACATGTATAATTTAAATACTGTTACAGTACACATATAGTTTCAAATTTGATGAATTTTTATCCTTAAATGATTCATATACTTTCAATTTTTTATTTATTTAATCTTTATACTTTTGAAATGTTCATTTTTTGTACGGTATTTTTTAAGAGGGACAATTTTTGTATATTTATTTTCATTTTTATCTCATTTATTTGGATCAAAAGTTTAATATGATACCTCATCCCTCAATATTTTTTCTTTTAAATATATCTATAAATTTATATTAAATAATTTCCAATATGTATAAACTTATGGGAGAAAAAATTAAAATGGTCACTTTTTAAAAGTAAAAAACAAAAAAACGAATATTTTGAAAATATATGAACTGAAGTGAGTCAAAATCGAAATAGATAGATCAAAAAATAATATGTGAAAAAAGAAAAGAAAAAGAGTTATGGGCTTTTGGAAAGAAAAGTGAATTTTATGGGCTGATTGTAGCGACTTGTGGTTGTCACATGGAAAATGTGGACCGACGATGACATGACAAGCCAGCCAGTTCTTGAAGTAAGTACGGGCTAGGGTTTATGTACTAAAGGAGATGGAGAACCACAAAGTTCTAACTTCTATGAAAATCCTTACATTTTTAGAAACTTAAAAGCCATTTGGAAGTGTTTCTAAATAGGCAATGAATCACTGAATTTAAAAAAATTAAAAAAA